CAGAGCCAGCCAGCAAAGCTGAAATGTGATTTGCAGTGTCCCAGTTTCAGCATCACAGAGCAGAGTATAGAATGGGTTTGAAGTTGAGAGACCATAGGATAAGACCTTGCACATATAGGGTCTATATGGTGGTGTTTGAGGGTAGAGGGATGATGCAGGATCAGTAAAATCATGAGATCTGTGTGTTCTTCCTATGGAAATGAGGCACTACCAGGTAATATAGCCAGGGTGACCACCTCTTGGGGAAACATGAACCATAAGCGGTGCCAGGATTCAGAGGCAGTCTTGGAGTCACGTCCCTGGAACTTAATGTTCTGGCTGGCAGCTTTATGGGATGCCAGATCCTGTTAAGCTTTGTGCTGAAGCTGTTGTAAATTTTGCTATCTCTGTCAAAATGACTCAGAAGCTGAGGAGGGTCTGAGTTGTGGGGCTCACCAGCGACGGCTATGAGCCAAGGTACAAATGGAGTCTGAGAACCCGCGTTGGTGCTTACAGTGTTCCACCATTATAATATTAGCTTTTCATGTAAACCAAGAGGCAGACAGAGGGTATTTGTTTTAGTTTCAAGCAGCTGAAGGGGGAGGGAGCGAAGGAATGGGAGAGAGAGAGAGAGGGGATTTTTTAGTACTGTGTATCTTTCATGGAGAGGGTAAGTAGCCCTCAGGACACTGCATAATTTCATTATGGAAAATTAACACTCATTCAAGTCTCCTAAGACCCTTCAACCAGCAAATCCATGATGAGAGATGTGACCCCAGAGCAAGTTAGTGCCTGAGTTTCCTTGGGCTGGCATCTGCGGAACTCTGCAATCTGACCCTTACTCATTCCTCCAGTGCTGCCTGCCACCATCACTGCAACATTCCAATCACCTGTGAAGCACTGGAGACAGTACTGGTGCTGGACCCTCCCTAGGCCAATTAAACAAGATTATCTTGAGATGGGGCAGGGGTGTTAGTATTTTATAAAAGCTCCCCATGATATTTTAATGTTAGCTATAGTTATGAACCATGAGAGTATAAGAATCCTATGCCCCAACTAATCTGGTCTATTTTTCAATTCAGATCAATTCCATTCAAAATTTTAGACACTTACTGAGTACCTTGTATTCTGCTAGTTTCTGCATATATAATAAATGAAACAAGATAAGTATCTCATGATTCAGTGTGAGAGACCAAGACATACACATATATGATTTAATCTGGTAAGTATTATATTTTGGATAATTAGTTATTGAGAAAGAGGGTGAATAATTTCACTTGGGTGTGTCTGAAGAGAGAAGATGGGAAAACCTTCACAGAGCAAATGAGAACATGCATTGAGTATATATTAGTCTAGATTGAGTTGACTCTTAGTGGATGAATAGGATTTAACAAAGAGGCTAAAGCATGAGAGAGCCTCATTGGTTCAGTCATGATGAATAATTTATCTGACTAGAAAATTTGTTGAATTGGGTGAAAGGCTAGAGATAAGACAGTAAAAGAAAGTGGGAACCACATTAGAAAGGATTTTGAATTCAACATTAATTGAAAATCCATGAGAATCTAAGCACAGGCTATGTTCTGAAGGTATAAAAATGAATAAAAGTCAAGATACTTTCAGTTATGTGGATGAGTCAGATATGAGGTGGTGTACGGAGGATTGCAGGCAGAAAAAATTGCATGAGCAAAAACACAGAGGCTTGAAAATGCCTGGTGATTTCAATAAACAGTGATAAACCAGCACTGTTGGATCTGTGATAGGGTTGGATAGAGATTAAGGTGTAAAAGGCAGGCTGAGATTAGATTGGAAGAGCATTGTGTACCCTATTTAGAAGTTTCATTTTTATACTATGATTTAAAAAATGGCTATGCAGATTTTAAAGTGAAGATTAGTATTATTCATATCTGATTTATAATTGACAACTTTAATAGTATTACATGAATTGTGATTCAGTGGAAAAGTGTGAAGAGATTGGAAACCAAAAGATCAGATAAGGATTATTAAAGAGGTCCAGATAATAGGTTTTCTGATCTAAGGCAGCTAAGTTGGTTTTGTCATTAATGGGGTTCTGTGTTTCATGGGGATTGGGAAGACAGGGAAGGATAATTTTCTCCTTTGCTGTTTTTTGGTGAGAAGAGGGAGGACCCTTGAGTTTGAAGTATCTGGGTTATCCAGATGGAGCAGTGAAGTGGACAGTTAAAAGTATGCATCTAGACCACAGAAGGTTAGTTGAAATTAGAAGTTTATCTGGTGTCAGCAACTCGTACAGAGTAGATCAAGCCAAGTAAATGGCTAGATGTGAACTGACTCAGAGAAATCAACATTTGGAGATGAACAAAAGAAAGGAGCTGAAGGAAATGAAGAAAAACAGGAGGAAGCCAGGAGGGATCAGTATTTCAGAGGTCCAGACTCTCTCTAGACTCTAAAGAAGGTAATTTCGAGGGAGTACATTGGTCAGCAGTGTCAAGCCCTGCAAAGAAGTCACAAAAAGTAAAAAACAACCTGAGAGGAAAAACTTCTGGACTAAGTTCCATGAGGGGAGGAGGCATATATGTGTTTGACACATATTAGCTGTTCAGTAAATATTTATGGCTTGAATGGATTTACCTTGATTTTGGATTTGTCTTGAGGGACGTATTCTGCTTCTGTTCTCTAGTTTACTCTTGGTTTATTTATTATTATATATAATATAGGTTTACTTATTATTCAAAATGTAACCCATATCAGATATGGATTTTTTTTCTGTTTTCAAATGATAGAGACAAAATTTATCTAAAAGGTGTATGATCATGTTTTTCTAATTAGAAGATGAACATCATTCTGCATGAAAAGATTTTTTTCCCTGATTGTTTTCAAATAAATGATATATTAGGCATTAAACAATGGAAAATGAAATAGCACATACTTAATCTCCTATGTCATCCAAAATATGTTCCTTTTGACCTTTATAAGTTAAATTCAAAAAGTTAATTCAATTTTCTCACTAAAGGCTATTAAGGTTCTGAGGCAAGGATTTAGGTTGGATTTAGAAATACTTTAATGAGTTGGAAGTGGGTCAAGAAACATTTACTACTCATTTTAAAAAATGCTCCTGATTTATCATGACTTTCTCCCTAACATATTCATAGTTTGTCTTCTCTCAAAATTAAATCCTGTTAGCTAAACAACTGCTATCTTAATTTGAAAGTAGACAAATCTCTCTGAAAGGGCATAAAGAAATAATTTATAGATCATTTTTTAAAAGGTTACTTGAAAGGCATTTGACTTAAGTTTTTTCATCAAAACATCTTCAAAACTGCTACAAAGCTAAACGTGATTTTAAAATCTCCACTAATTTGTGTTCTTCCAATTTTCAATTTGATATTCATATGCAATTAGGTGATATTTAGCTTTATAATCTCTTTGATGGAGAGGTTTAGGAAGGTAATTAGTGAACTATGTGGAATTGAGGTTGATTAGTATAAACCAATTCAGAGAAAATTCTGTTTTGGAACAGTATAGATACATATACAGTACTAATTATAGATTAGTAGGGAATGCAGATGGTGTTGTTTTATCAGTTGTTTTCAGCTACTGTCTTAGGTTAGTTTCCCCAAAAGCAGGCTCAGAGAGAATTTGTGGCCAAGTGATTTATTAAGGAGCTACTTCCAGGAAAAGCTGGCAAGGGGAAGGGGGCAGGCCTAGCAAAGGTGGGATTTCAGATGACATATTTCTGGGCCTTAGCCTGATCCCAAAGGCAAGGGCTGGGGTTTTAGTCACATCTCTGAATGTCTTGGCCCTAGCCAAAGAAACTGAGATGTCCACAGTCCAGCAGCAGCTAGTCTTTTGCTAAGGGCTATAGTGAGGGTAGGGGGAGGAGGAGTGGGCAAGGAGAATATATTCCCAGGAACTTCCTTTTACCATATTTGGGCAAAGCCCTGCTTCCAGTTGCCTGAGGGCAGGTTTCTGAGGGCAGTGTAGTGGGGGACAGTATTGGCCATTAAAGGCCAAAGAGATTAATGTGAGGGGCGAAGGGTGGAGGTGGGTTGGCACAGAAATAGTAAAAGGGATCCAAAGTGGTCTGAGTGGATCACCAACAATATGCTACAGGTCCCTTGTGTAATTGAATTCTAACTTCTTTGAAAATACTGCAATTTCCAAATTTCTCTAACGTCAGTTCCAGTTCTGACCCAAAAGTCCACACAAACAATGTTCTATCCAACTACTTACAGTACATTTGCTGCTTAGTTGGAAAGTTAAAAATGTCTTATCTCTATAGACAAAACTAGGTAGAAATGCATTTAGTGACATACTAGATGGCTAGAAGGAAATGTTCTTTATTGCTCCATTTTTATTTAGAGAGGCTCCCTTCCTGTTGTAGCACAAACTATTCCATATGACGTGTTTCTCTAGTAGAAATAGGTATGTGATTCACCAAAATAACTTCCATATCACATTTGACAAGTGACTATTTTTCTCATTCAAAATAAGTTTTCCAGATGCACACAAAGTTTTGTTTTTGTTATGGGTGGCCACTTTTCTTATCTTTGCTTTGCTAAGGTATGTGTTGGTACAAAAATAAAGAAGCTATATAAATGCATATGATAATGTTTTAGCTCAAAAATACATCATAGAAATCTCTAGATCATTAGTTTCTCTTTATCAAGAAAATGAGAAGTGAGTTGGTACCAAAGCTCCTTTATCTATTGGAGTAACTGCTGGGAAGATTAAGAGAAGTAGTTTAAATATATTGGCTTTGCTTTTGTGGCAAGGTTTAAATTCTGAGCTCCACTGTCCTCTGAAAAAATTCAAATTTTGGTGAAAGAAAATATCATGCCAGAGATCTTAAGGTAATAGCTAGTGTTTGTTACACCACTGAAGGTACTTGTAGCTTCAGACATTTCACTGTTGCATTGCCAAGCCATGGTCAACCGACAACCTGAGTTAGAGCATGACAGTCATTTCCATCCTAGAGAGGCATGGTCATCTTCTTCTCTTGCCTTTAGTTGCACAAAAAACCCCTAAAATCAGCGCTGATTTACCTTTCAAAGCAGTTTGACAATTGCCTTGGGGTCTGGTGTTCTTCCCTTCTCCCGTCTTCACTCCTCGCTACCTTGCGCACTGCAAGTGGAAGGGAAGAGAAGGAGGTAAAATAGACTTACTTCTCCGAGAAACCTGACCTTGTCTTAGCTACCAAGAGATTTTTTTCTAGTTTGTTTTGTGAGAGTAGTTCAATAACTTGAAGTGAGGTGACCATCACTGTCTCCCCTCTTTTGTCTCACTTTTCGTTTCTTTTGACCCAAGCATCTCATTCCTTACTTTCTTAAGTGATTTTTATGGGAGATACTGTAGATAGCACAATATCTACTTTTGCAGCCAAACTGCAGTTTGACATCAGGCAAGTCATTGTCTCTCTTGAGTCTGTTTCTATTACTGTAAAGCAAGGAGGTTAGCCCTTGCTATCTTGCTGACTCATAAGAATTTAAGGAGGATAAAGTGTGCACAGAATGTTCTAGACATCTAGGTCAAAAGGTGCTGCATACCAACGGTTATCTACCTATCTCATGGGGATGTTAGGAACTGAGATAATATGTGAAATATTTTGAGTTCCAGAAACACAAACAGCAATGCATTTGTGCTATAATGATTTATGTTCTAGGTAGCTACAGCAGGATTTTACTTCTTAATATATTTATTCACTTCATTACTTTCTGTAACAGACTGCATATGGGACATAATTCGGTAGTGGAAAAAAGAGAAAGTGTTTAAACAATTTTTTCTTCGGAAAATATACAGTCATCCAGTAAATGTTGCACCCTTATCTACATACGACCAGTACGCTACTGAGATTTATATTTTCCTTCCCATGAGGAAAGAGGTGGGAGAGGTGGTAGTGAAGGAAGAGAGCAAAGAAAGAAGTCAGAGAGGTTCACATTCAGGTAATTCCAGATCTTCTAACACTCAGCAATGCTGAATGTGCCTCCAGGCATTAGGATATTGAAATGTCCCTTTTGGAGTGACTGATCCAATGGATTTGAAATTCTCTGTTTGCTACAAAATAAAAAACCGTAAAAATTATACTTTCATGAAAATCTGTTTTAAGAAACATGGGCCATTCAGATCAACCCCCTCCACAGCCCAGTCACATTCCAAAGCACCATGAAAAATGACTGTTTATTGAATGTTTCAAGTTTATTGTAATTAGCATATTACATTTAGACAGGCTAACAAAAACAAAGACTAATTTAATCAACAAAAACATTTTGGGGAGAGGCTGGGCAACCCACACAATCCAAGAAAGAGCTGAACTAGCAGACTTTGAGAAAGACAGGAACATCTGCTTCACCCATCTGATGAGCAGGAGTTCGGGGCTTTCTCTTTTGGTTGGGTCCATCACCCATATCAGTCTCTGTGTTCTGCTCAAGATTCAATTCCTTGGGAGACAGCATAATTAAATTAGCTTGGATTAGGTACCCATCTTGGTGGTGGTGGTGGTGGCTATGCAGGGGTTCCTGGGATCAGCATTCCCCCAGAAACATATGGAGCTAGGGAGGACTAAGTCCCAAAGGAAAGGAGGTTGGGCAGACAAAACCCAAGACATCCACTGCCCCAAATCTATGCTATCATTAAGTTGATTTAAAATTTTATGGCATATGAGACCCCTTGACAACTTTTAAGCTATGGTTATATCTCCATTGCTTAAAGCTACGTAAAGGAGGCAGTGGAGTAAAGTGGTCTGTATATTTGGCTTTTGTTTTGATATGGTCACTAATTGGCTAAATGACCTGGGCAGGGAGCTTAATCTTTCAGGGTCTGTTCCCAGAATTGAAAAATGAGAGGATTTATAGATCTTATTCTATACCATTTTTGTTTATTGTTTTGGTATTTGATCTGAGTTACAGAATTGGGTTAACTATGCACCTCCCTGTGTAGTACTCCATAACATGCTTCTAAACAAGGTCCTTTTGTTGTTTTATTTCATTTTCTACTTTATTCCTAATCTCCATTCCTATTCTTTTAATCCCATAGATTACCAATATAATATTTGGATACATGTTTTTGTATATGTAAAATATATTGTATGATTTTATGTGTGTGTGTACATATACATATATACATATACATACATATATAAATGTGTGTATATACATATATACACACTTAACTGTTTGCAACTGGTATTATGCTACTGATTTCATTCTGTTTTTTTAAAAATTGTTTTCATGAAACATTATGTTTTGTACATGTGGGATCCCATCGTATGCACCAATTATCATTGCATTTATTGATTCCTCTTGTGACAAATACATAAAGCAGCAATAGTGAATTGTCTGCTTGTACATGTTTCTTATAGGAGTTTTAAGGGTTTCTCTGGGAATTATTTTTAGAGTTTAATTTTAGAGATTAATATCTAAAAATTCACAATTTCATTAAGTATAGTAAGATTGCTTTCCAGAAAAACCTCATGACTGTCACTTACATTAATTTTGCATAAAAGCTCTTATTTCTCTATATTCTCTTCAGAACTTGGTATTATTCAACTTTCTCTATGTATACATATACACATATATAGTTATATCTGGATATATCCTTATATATGTGTATATCCATATATCCATATATATAGCCTATATATCCCTATATATGTGTATATCCATATATCCATATATATATCCTGTATATCCCTATATACGTGTATATCCATATATCCATATATATATCCTATATATATCCCTATATATGTGGATATCCATATATACATGTTTTCTATATATACATGTATATATTTTGCCACATGATCACCAAGATATTCCCCTATGTTTTCTTCATGTTTCAACTTTCATACTCAAGTCTTTAACCCATTTGAAATACACCTTTGTTTTTCACTTTATTTTTCCATGTAAACTAATTTCTTTAAGACCATCTACTAAATAAGCCATGTTTCATCTTCTCTCACTTTTTTTGGGTGTCAACCTTATAATGTAGCAAGTCACATGTCACAAAAATATTGGCCTATTTTAAGCTCTCTGTTCTGTTTCATTGATCTGTCTTTGTATCAATACTGTGTTGTTTTAAATTACTGTAGCTTTTTAGCATGCCTTAATATCTGAGTTTAAGTCCTCAGCTGTTTTTCTTTTTGTAAAATTGACCTAATAGCGAACTGGCTATTCATATGGAAAGAAATAAAAATATGTTCTATTAAAAATTCTAGATGAATAAAGGCTTAGAAATAATAAAAATCTTTGCTGAAAATATATGAGAAAACATACACAGTAGTTGAATTTCTGAGATCTTCCTAGCAACACAGGAAATCCAAAATCTGTAATATGAGATAAAAATATTTGATTATTTAAAAATTAAAAATTTTGTATGAAAAAAATCCCATAAAAATCAATGGGCACTAATGGAACAAGAAAAGTACATTTTCCACTCAGATAACAAAGCATTAATTTCTACATTATCACATGATGAACAACTCAATTAAAATGAATATAGATGTGAATCCAGAAAACAGCCAATAAATGTGAAAAGATGCACAAATTCAAAAAAAGACAGAAAAATTAACATTATAATAACAATAAGCTCATTGGACAAGTATGTAGAGGAAAGGGTAGTATGATACATATTACTGGTGGGAAAGTCAAGATTTGTAGTATTTTGGGAAGGAAATCTGGCAATATCTATAGAAATTAAAAATACATATTCTCTTCTACTCAACACTTCTATTCCTGGAAATCTCTCTTATAGAAATGAAAGTACAGATCTTGTCCATAAAATTAAAGAAAAAAAGTGTATGAATTTATAACACACAAGGACTTTTATTGCACCATTGTTTATAATCACCAAAAACTGAAAGTAAAGAATATGCCTAATGACATGAATATAACGGACTTATGGTTCGAATGCTATGTAGTATTTTATGGCCATGAGAATGATTCAGAATAGTACGCATCTATGCATGTGTAGGATATACGATTATAGAGAAATAGAATGTTAACATGGCTACATGGAATTGGAGAAGACAGTGGAAAAAAGGTGTCCATAATAAAGAGAGAATGTATGGTATGATCATACCTATGTAACATTATGTATTGGCCTGTAGGCCCAAGTCCTAGGATTGCTCTGAGCCCAATCAGGCTTAAGGCTGCAGTGCGCCATGCAGCCTGGCAACATAGTGAGGTCCCTTTTCTTAAGGAAAAAAAAAAAAAAAAGAATAGCCGGGCGCGGTGGCTCAAGCCTGTAATCCCAGCACTTTGGGAGGCCGAGGCGGGTGGATCACGAGGTCAGGAGATTGAGACCATCCCTGGCTAACATGGCGAAACCCCGTCTCTACTAAAAATACAAAAAACTAGCCGGGCGTGGTGGCGGACGCCTGTAGTCCCAGCTAGTCGGAGGCTGAGGCAGGAGAATGGCGTAAACCCGGGAGGCGGAGCTTGCAGTGAGCCGAGATCACGCCACTGCACCCCAGCCTGGGCGACACAGCGAGACTCCGTCTCAAAAAAAAAAAAAAAAAAAAGAATAGATTATCACTATGTGTCAAAGGTGGGTATTATAGAGAACTATGAAATTCTGACTTCTTTCTGTCTGTATATTGCTCTAATTTCCTACAAAGACTATGTTTTTCTTTTACATAATCAGGAGACAGTAATGAAGATATATTTCTTGTAGAAATAAATACAAAAATCAATTGTAAAAGGAAAAAACAAAACTGGAAAATTATTTATAAATCTTTATTCTTCCATCAAAATACTAGAAAAAGTTTGCCAAATTTACAAAAAAAAAAATCTTACTGGAATCTTTATTAGCAATGTGTTAAATGCAAGCAACATTGTGTTCAGTTTTGGTATCTTTACAGTATTACATTGTACTATATGTTTATTTAGTTCTTCTCACTTTATGTCCTTAAAACAATTTAAGTTTTTCCTCCTTAAAGATCTTTTTCATCCTTTATTAGGTACTTTGTTGTTTTTGTTGTGTTTGTACTAGATAGTTTATTGTTTTTATTGCTATTAAAAATGGTTATCTTACTTTCTATGTTATTTTCTAGTTTATTTTGGAGTATAGAAGAACCTTTTTCACTTTTATAAGTTAATCTTTATTTTGTAATTGTACTGAATTAT